ATTTATATTATTTCACAATTTGTCAAAGATTTAATGTAGATTTATTGCTACATGCGCTGTGCAATGGCTGCTGGAAAAGTGTTTTGTTGCTGACGGGATTTTATTTTGTAATGTTCTATAGACATATCAAAGTTTATTAATGCTATTAATGTTAATCAAAAATGTAGCCCTTCATGTTATGAAAAAGCTTGTTTGATAAGGGAAAATGGCCGCCATTTCATCCAGAAACCACTGGCTGCGTCCTTGTTCATTGTGCAGAAGGCTCTACTTCTGCTTTTCAGAGATGTGCTGTAGAATAATTGCACGTCTGTTTGCAACCATTTTCAGGTGCGAGTGTAAATGTCGGCCAGGAGAAACTTATTTGGATTGAAAGTGACAAGACGCCCTAAAACATCTGGAAATAGACAGAACTGAGCAGAAAATCTTATTATTTAAGAATAATTTTTTTTGCAAAAAATATGTAAACATGTTTTGTTTCCCCCACATTTCTATTTATTCAAGGAAGCATAATAGGTCACCTTTAAAATCTGACCTACTTCATGTAGAAGGAAACCCAAAATCAGTAGGAACAGGAATACAAATCGGCAATTTTATGGCAATCTTAGTTAAATCTATGCTGCTGTGTTACATAAATTGATTGGCAGATCAGTTTCTAAATTTAAGTCATGTTCTCATGAATGCCTCTTTTCACTGTTGCCACAGTTTAAATGTGTCAGAGGTTTTCATGCTGCCTCCATCATGCTGCTGTAAACAGGTGAGGATTACCAGCAGGGGCAGAAAAGCATCCCTGATGTTCGTCGGTTGACCTGACCTCCTTCTCCTGTTTGCTCCCCCACCATATGCACCATCTTTCTTCCAAGTTTGTTTCTTCACTTCTTCCTTTCATGTCTGTTTAACATGCTCCTTTCCCTTTCCTTTCCCATGTCTGTCCTTCCCTCGCTGACTTTCCTGAGCATCCATCTTTTCCAAGGGGATGATATGAAAAAAGCCTGCAGAGAACATGATAATCTGCTGCTTTTTGACCAGAAACAGGAGTTTCAGCTGTTTTTTCTTGTTCCAGACTTTTTATTTTTCCCTGAGCTCAGAGTCCTGGAGGCACCCTGCTGGGTGAACACGCAGCACCGCGCCTGGGAACAGAACGGATCATACTTTCACTGCAAAAACAAAATATTTCCAAGTCTTTTTGGTTACAAATATCTCAGTACATTTAAAATAAGACAAAAACTAACTCACAAGCAAATTTTCAACAGCTATATGGGGCTAATTCCTTAATATTGATGGAAAAGTTTTAGGTCCACTGGCAGGTTTTTTAATTTATAACTAGACATTTTCCCCATGAGTGAAATAATCTGCTAGTGGAACTAGTAGTTTTCATTCATATTAAGGAATTATTGTAAGATATTTACACTGGAAACTAGACTAAGAATACTTGGTAAGACTTTCAGTTTTTGCAGTGTAGCTTCATCTGGTTCAATGAAATCCTATGTTGTTGCATTTTAGGCAATAAAATATACATTTTCTTTATTAAAAAAAGGAATTTAATAATTTTGTATTTGCATCTTTTACTGAAGGCTTAATTAAAAAATCTGGAGGTTGTTGCATTTTTAAAATCTGATTAATCCAATCAGAATAATCAACCACTAAAGTAGTTGTTAGTTGAAACCCTAAATTTTACAGCCCTCACAGATTTGTTACAAATTGTATTGATCAAAAAGTCACTTTATTTTTCCAAAATTCTAAATTTTTCCTGCTCCCAGTGTATTTTGTTGTAGATAATATCTTTGGCAATGAGATGATTATTTCTGAATGCTCACTTATGTAAACATGCAGAACTTAACGTTTTATTTCTAGCAAACAGTAACGATGTGAAGTTTGACCAGGAACATTGACCATGCTGCCCTCTGTTGGTGTTTTCATGATCTGGGTCAACATGATGACAAAGGATCAACAGGAGCAAATCCCATAAAAACACCACAGATGTTCCTGAGAATGTTAAATAAGCAACAAAAGCAGAAGGTGAAATATAATTCAAACCATAAATGGATAAATTGGTAAATTGATTGATATGTTTCTAGATCTGTTTTTGGGTTGGTTTATGATTCTTCTGGCCAAATTTCATCATAAAAACTATAAATACAGTAAATCATTTTTAATTACAAAAACTGAACATTTAAATATTTGTTTATTCTTTTTAATTAGAAAACATGGGAATAGGGTTACAGTGCTGTGAAAAAGTACATAATTGTTGTGTTTTGTACTGAAATGTTTCAGATCAGCTGCCATCAGTAATTTGTTTCTGCTGGAAATGAGTTTTGATTTTTAGATATGTGGATTTTTTGGATTGTGGTTTTTGTCTTATTTATGTTATTTGCAATTTTATTTCTTCCTGGGAGGTTATTATGGTGACTAGTTTATCTAGGTTATTTCTGTTTGCTCTCTTTCTGTTTTGTTTAATTTATTTTATTCCTTGCTCATTAGGTTTAGTTATGTCGAGTTTTATAGCTTGTCCTTAAGCCTATTTTGATTTTATTTTTCTAAGTTTATGTTTTTTCTGTCATGTTCCTCTAGTGTTGTCTTGGTTTTCTTTTTGTTATCCATCCTCATTAGATTCACTGTTGCTATGTGTCATATGTTTATTTCCTTAGTGTTATGCTTCGTGTGTTTTTGTTTTCATTTTCTTAGATTATCTAAATACATGTCATCCACTCTTCCTTGCAAAATTATTTTAATTCAGCTACACTGAAGGATTTTCTGTTTAAATCAATTTAACATGTGAAGCATCTCAGTCAGGCTTGTCCCAGACTTTGAAAAACCTGCATCTTATATTTCTTTTTCTGAACCATTCACAAGTAGATTGCTATGTATTGCATATTTGTCCAGCTCCACAACTGTGCTTGAATTTAGGACTAAAAAGATTGCCAGACATTGTCGTTTAGGATTTTCATTTTTATAAAATGGTTTTGATTAGGGATGCAATCAATTAATTGACTTACTGTTAATTAATACTAATTGTTGGTTAATAGTATCCGACAATTTATTTTATTTGATAAAATAATGTAATTTTATACTATTTAAATTTGATAAAACGTCCAGTAAGATCATCTTTTAGTGTTGTAGTTTGGCCTCCATCCAGCAGAGGGCGCAGCCAGCCATTTAAGCAGAGCCATGTATAGAAACAAAGATGGCGGCTGAAACAGAACCGTAAAGAGAAGCGGTCAAATCAGAGTTCAATGTTGGAGATAAAAGTTGGATGTAAAAGAAACTTTATGCGTCTCTGTTTTGAAATAAAAACTCTCGACAGACTCAATAAGTTTCAAATTAATATTCAACCGAGCAACTTAAAAATCACGGATTTGCTACGAAGGCGAGGAAAAGCAGAACAGAGAAAAATTGTCGATGATGCGATAATAATTTAGAAAATTTCTGGTCATTTTAAAGAACCACCATTTTATTTCTGTTCTTTAGGTTAAAACTAAGAAAAATATAAAACATTTACAAAAATAGGATTGATGCATTTTCTTCTATTGGATGTTGAAGTTTCTGGGAAATGCAAAAAAAAAAAAAAAAAAAAAAAGACAAAAGAAAAAACAAAGAAACATTTAGTTTACAAGAAAAAACAATGTTTGTGATACTTGTATCCTTCTGTTGTGGAAATTCAATGTGAGATTAATTTTGTGCAAAAGAAACAAACAAAAAACAAACAAAGCTAAAATTTGCATATTGTAAATATCTAACTATATATATTTATAAATTGTTTCCCAAATATTAAGATCCATTGCAGAAGCTCCAAAGAGCCTCTTAGCCAATAGTTTACACTTTTCTTTACTTTACAGCCGGAAATCTTTAGGAAACAAAGCTCACTTTAAATCCCTTGCAGGATTCAGAACTCCTCTGTTAACAGAGTTAAAACCCAGCTTCATGACTCAGCTCAGCACGTTGTCGAGGTTAAATATGCTCTCTGACCAAAGGATATCCAGCCTGTGTTGAACCTGTTTGTGCAGCCCCTGATCTGCATAATAGGTTATGCAACCTCTGCTGCTGGTGCCAAGCTGCAGGATGATGTGAGCAAAAGGCACTTAGCACACTGACAGTGACACTTTTGCTGCTCAAGGTCTGTTAGATCACAGCGATAATCAGCCCTGAGTGGATATTCCCAAAGACGTGTAAGTGGTGTTTGACGGCGAACGTGACTCAAATTTTAGACGGCCAACCTGACGCCTGCATGTCCTCTGCTTTCCAGAGTCTGGAAGGAAATAGTTTGGTAAAGATAACACTTTTAAATCTCTTTGCAAGATGTTTCTAATTCTTGTTTTATTTTTCTTTGCAAAATCTTCAACGATAGACAGGGTAGCAACTATTACAGTTTAACAGTGAATATTAGGTCATTTCAATGGAGTCAGCAGTTTATAAAATGTAACATTAAAATCTAATTATACTTATAGACAAACAAAAAGAAACACATAGTTGTGAAGGCTAATTTTCACAAATATTTAAAACTAATCTTGAACTGATTTGTTAAATTTATTCCTAATCTTAACCTTCAAACTGCTGATTTAAAGCTCAGTGGAGACGTGATGTGTGACTCCGTCTGTAATCCTGGAGGATTGAGGTCATAAACTGGTCAGGTTTACTGGAACAGTTGGGCTCCACCATAAAGGACACAGGGGAGTTTTTAAACGTCCTTCCATTTACGGTTCGTCTGCACTGCAAAAACATAAAATCGTACCAGGTAATGCTGCATGGATTTGACTCACCTGTTCAAATCCATGCAGCATTTTATTGAAAAAAGCTGAAGAAAACATTACGGATTTATAAAATGACTCTGAAGTTGTAATTAAGCTTCTGCTTCTGTGTGAAAACACCAAGTTTGTTGAAAGGACAGAGGAGGGTCCAGAGGGTAACTAACAGGATGAGCCACGTGGCCCAGCAGGGATTACGAGCGGCAACAAGAAGGTAAAGAGATTAGACCGAAAACACAGCCTGCTTTTTCAACCTCGTCACTGTTGGCACCCGGGCAGCAGAAGGAAACCCCAGACCCAAACTTCTCTTCGTAGCCGAACTCCCCTTCCTCCTCCCTCACTCCCTCATGCTCCTCCATGCAGCCAGTTCTGCAGCCGGACCAGCAGCTGCCTGATGGGAAACGCCGCCGCCTCCTGATGGACTTGGCATCTAGAGATTCTGGATTCTTCTGTTGTGTGACACCTTTTCTTCACACATGAGCACTTTGGAAGTGATAGAGACATAATTCAGCCCATCATGCTTTTAAAGTCAGGAGTATTTCTCACCTTGTGTCTGTTTACCCTTCAGGCGAGTCGAATCAAAGGTAAGGAGAAAGACAGAAACTCTGGCACTGCAAAAACACAAAGTATTTTTCTCTAGTTTCTTACTCTAATATCTTACTGAACTTAAAATAAGACAAAACTAACTTACAAGTAACTTCAGCAACGAGCTACTCATTAGTTAATAGTTGAAGTCAATAATTCCTTAATATTGATGAAAATGTTCTTGTTCAACTGGCAGATTATTTCAGGTATGGGAAAAATGTCTTGTTTCTATATTTTTAACTTGTCTTGAGAGGCTTTTGCAGCGTTTTAATCATTTTTACTATTAATGCTTAATTTACTTAACTGAGTCACATTTGACTCTTAATTATCCAGAATTGTCAAACTCAACATAAACCTTTCCCACACTGCAAAACCACATCTTACAAAGTCATTTTTAGTGTAATTTCAACTGCAAATCTCTTAATACACTTCAAATAAGATAAAACTTACTGACAAGTAACTTTTCTGCTACATACAGGAGCTTGTATGTGGTCAATAAATCCTTAATATTGATAAAAAAAAAGTTTTCACTTTATTGAGACATTTTCTCCATCTTCTACAAACAGTAAAACGAGTAAAAAATTTTTTTTATCAATACAAAGTAAATATTGACTGAAAACTAATTTCTATATCTTGCTGAAAGGTTACTTTCAAGTTTTTGCACTTAAAAAGTGAAAACTAAAGTATTTGAACAAGAAACTGGAGAGAAATAGTTGGTAAGATTCAGTGTTTTTTGCAGTGGATTCTTTCCGCATGCGGTTGAATGACAGCCCAATTCAGGCGTGTTTGTGTCAATAAAGTAGCAGGTAAACATCACAAGTCCAAAATGTCAGCTCCATCTTAGGGAGATATTAGATTTTTGGCTGTGAAGCAAATGTCAAACAGCTCGCAATCAGTTTTTAAGGTCATGAACGTTTTCCGTCAATCAGCCCGACATCTGAGAGTTGTTCACCAGGATGGAGAGTTTCAGCAGAGCAAAATGTTTTCCGTTTGTCTCGCTCGGTACGATGTGCCCCGGGGTGAGCTCATTATCCGAAAGCAAACAAAAGCCATTTTGTCCTCACTGTTGCAGGACGCTAATCTTTTCTGGCTCGTAATTCTCCAGTGGGGCCTTTTTCAGGCGATACTGTCCAGTCGCTAACGGTCCCTCCTCCTGCCGCTGCATGTGTGCGACAGCCGCCTGCTCAGGGAGACCAGCAGGAGTCCTGGTGCTTTGTGAAAAATGATTTGTTGAAGGGACTCAGCCGACCGACTCTAAGCAGGTGGAAATTGTCTTTAAGGTGACCTTCTATGCTTCCTGGAACAGGTTAGGATGCCTCTATGGATTTCATAAAACATGTTCGCTACATTTTTTTGCAGAAAATCATTCTTGGACAATGAAACTTTAGTTTGCACAGTTCTGCCTGGTTTGAGCTCCTTTCAGAATAAGTTGTCTTTGGGCCTCTTGTCACTTTACATTTTTGTAATTATACAACCATACATCTTTGAAAAGCAGAAGTAGGGCCTCCTGCACAACCAACAAGAATGCAGCAAGTGGTTTCTGGATCGTAAGTAAACATTTTACCACTGGTTTTACAGTTTTAAGACCAGCTGACCAAACATGCTGGAGTTCTGCGTGGGTTGCTAGGTGAGGGACAGCGGTCGCTGCCTTGATGTGTTACGTTCCACAGGTTTTTGGAACGACTCATTTTCCACGTACCAAAAAACATTAACTTCTTACCAAAAACACGGGGATATTTTTTTATTTTAGCTCTTGGGCTGGTTGGAGAACTGCAGGAGAAACCAGAGGGAGGTAAAAAGGAGGCGCAGATTTTGTAAAATACATCTGCAGCAAATCAATAAATATTAATTTTCTATGAATCTACAGAGCAGACTGCAGCCAATGCAACAATATTAAATTGTAAAAAATTTATTTATTTATTTTTTGTTTGACCTGAAGTTTTGTCTTTAAAACGGATATCTAGCAAAACTCCTGTGATTTTGTTTCAGTGTTTGGGTTTAATTAGGACAAATTGTTGAAAAAGTTTTTTTTTTTTTTTTTACAGTAAAGTAAAAGTTAAGGAATCAAAATATTCTTTCCTCACATACAACAGAGGAAGAGTAAAACAAAATAAATGTTTAACACAAATAAAATATATGTATATTTTACATATTACATCCAGTAATATGTGAGGATTTTAATTTTACAGAATGTAAGAATTCCTCACAGAGCTCATAAAAAATAAAATCCTCATGTTTAAGGATTTTACAGAATGTGAAAGATTAAAATTATGTACAAACTCAGAAAAATTGCTAAAACATAAATAAAAACTATGGATAAAATCCTTCTTGTATTGCTGAAAAGTTAAAAGTGAAAGCTGGTTCAGGAGGGTTGAGCGGCGATGCACCCGAAAATAATTCATTTTTATTAGCTTAGAGAAAAGGCTGATATGATGAACTCCAGAAATACTCCGCCTGAACACAATTTAATTGAAGAGACAGAGATTGCCTTCAGTCTAAATCTAATTTAATTCAGTTAATTTTATTGGTATCTCCTGAAGCAGTTAAATTCAGTTCATCACGGTTGATATAAAACGTTTTCCATCAGAGGAAGCTCAGCCGATTGCATGATTCACAGACCTTCAGCAATCCCTCCTTCTGAGCAAGCAAGCACGCGGCGACAGTGGATTGCATTACGCCACTAAACAGCTTTTCATTTGATAGAAAATAGGGGTGCAGTAAAACTATTTCTGGTGCAGGGGATTCTCAATTGATTCAATATTCATTTTAAAACGCCTTTAATTTGTTGGATTACTGCAAATCACTCGACGACGCCACTCAGCCTTTGAATAATTCTTTTATATTTTTTATTTAAGTAAAAACCAGGCGGCTAAGCTAACCTAACAAAATTATTTTGTGCATAAACATAAATATAAAATGTATGTAACCTTTATTGAATAGTTTTAAATGAATTGTTCTGGTCTTTCTGTCAGTCACACGATGCAAAAACAAAATCTTACCAACTATTTTTGGTTTAGTTTTCAGTCACTGTAAACTAAACAGCGTCAAAATAAGACAAAACTAACTTACAAAGAACTTTCCAGCAAGATGGTAGAGTTTGTTTTAAGTCAGTAATAACTTGAAACTGCAGAAAAAGTCAGATTTTATGGGCAGATTCTTTTCAAAATAATCTGCAAATGGAACTAGAACTTTTTCATTATTAGGAATCATTGTTTCAAACAAGATCCTGCATGTTGCTGAAAAGTCAGTTTTGTTAGTTTTGTCTTATTTTAAGTGTATTAAGTTTTTACTAGACTTAAAAGAGGAAATGTTTTTTGAAATCCAGTATCTTAATCTGCCATGACAGCTGTAATTATATTATCTGCAGTCACTTATTCCTGTGGTTTGCCTCTCGGTGTCCTAATCCAGGAGCGATGGTAGTTTGTTGTTTGGGTGCAGTGACCTCCTGTCTGTGTTTTGGCTTATTGTCTTAAGAAGTCGGGGAAGATTTGCCAGCTGGCGTCACAATCAGGCCTTTCTTCTAAAATGATTCACCGAGGCGGTCGGCCCACACATTTAGGATCGTCACGCTGGCTTTTGTTTCGCTGCCAAATTCCTCTGTGGAACAACAGAAGTTCTGGCAGAGATGCTAAAGGTGAACAAAACAGCTTTTCTTGTTTTTAGGTAATTGAATCTGTAACTCAGGCTGCTTGATATGAAGCATCTCTCTGACAATCAGCTCTTGATTTGAGACGCTGCTTTCATTTTCCCTTCTTCCTCTGCTTCTCTAGAAATCAGAGTTATTAGTGCAAATACTCAGAAATATGGAGAAACTCTCTTACTAGTAACTTTTCAGCAAGATACTGGAGATTGCTTTAGGTAAATAATTGAATACTGAGAAGAAGTACTAGTTCCACTGAGATTATTTCACGCGTTACAAGATATGAAATAAACATAAATAAACAATAATTGGTTTATTTTGACTTTTGTTATGTTTCTGCACCTTTTATTCATCATGTCTTTGGTGTTTTTCTCTCTGTCAGGTTTGCTGGTTTCTTTGTTTATTTGCATTACTTTGGTTGTAACATGTCTTATAATTATGTAAAGCACATTTTAAAACACTGATGGGACGTAAAACAAAAGTCAGACGACAAAAAAATCAAATGGTATTAAAAAAAAGAAAACCACAGAAAGGCACAAAATGTAATTGTCTAAAAATGGAAAAATAGCATTAAAAATATTTTTGCTGCAGTATTTTGTCAAAAATGCCAAAAGAGCCCAGAAGTAACTGTTCTTTCACCTCAAGACAAATGTTAAATTTTTTCTTTTATTTATTTTTTGCACTTTTTCATAACTTCTTCCAACCAAAAACCACCAACTCCAAACTTTCCATAAGTAAAAGTTTTTATATGAGTTTGCACCTGAAATCAAACACACAGAGGATTTCTGTGTGGCATTTAGTCCAAAAATAAACCAGCAAATGTTTCATTGCAAATGTTAAAATGCTGCTAAAACACATTCGCAGAGGAAGCAGCAGAGAGTCGCTCTGCTCAGCAAACGTCATAAGTCACTTTGTTGGATTAACTCCGGAGCAAATTAAATACTCCTGACAGAAAGTGAGCTCTGGCTGACGCTGAGGGCCAAAGGTTAATGTTTTAATACTCACTCCTGTTATTTAAACTTTTAGTTTCAACTTAATTAGTTTACTGTCATAAATAAACTTTTTTTTCCCCCAACTCGACGGAAAGACGAAGAGGCAAAAGCAGCATTAAGGTTTGTGTTTAATCGTGGTGCAACTCGGCAACATGTTACCGAAAGATTTGGCCGTAAGGAGATGTTGGGATAAGTCTGTCTGAAAAACAGCCAGGAGCTCCGGAGGAACTCAGTGTTCCAGCATTTTTGCTGTTTTCTGGAAGTTTGTTCCAGATTAGAAGCGGAATGCCGTTTCTCCATGTTTGGTTCTGGTTCTGGTGATGCAGACCAGAAGACCTGAGGTCTGGAATAGTTTCATCGTTTTCTGGTCGATTTCCTGGTGGTCCAGTTTGTCTCTCACTGCAAAAATCAAAATTCAAACATACTTTATTTATCCAAAAGGGAAACTAAATGTAGCTCATTAATTCAGATTCTTCAAAGAGTTTTTGAAGGTTGGATGGCTGCAGGCAGCGGTTGATTTTTAGACCTGTGCCGACGTAAATAAGGATTATTTTAAGTGAAATAATATGCCAGTGGCATTAGTGCTTTTCATTAATATTAAGGAATTATTGACTGAATATAAGCTCCTATATATTAGTGAGAAGCTACTTGTAAGTTAGTTTTGACCTGTTTCAAGTGAATGAAGATATTTGCAATAGAAACTAAACCATAAATAACATTTTGTGTTTTTGCAGTGAACCAAATAAGAGTTGCAAATAACACATGACTCTTTGAAACAAGATGACTTTTGAGACTACTAAAGCATTTTATTTCTCTTTTCAGGATTAAAATTAAAGATGATTGTTGATTGGCTTCAAAGAAATGAGAAGAAAAACAGATCTGAAAACAAGTTCCTGGTACTTTTTGTGTCATTCTTTTTGGAAATTCAATGCAAAAAACTGCCTTTGTTATAAAATAATGCTAATTGATTCTGCTTAATTTTTGGCTAAAGTTATAAGGAACCAGTGTGGAAGGTCAAAAGATCACAACAAGTACATAAAATAATACCAAAAATGTTCCCAGAAAGACTTTATTTTGTAATTCCACCAATTATCCTCCAATAACTGACATAAACATGACAAAATAACCGCTGTTTGCTGTAATTATCCAGTTCAGTTGAAACATTCCTGCCTCCTCTTTTGTCTCTCCTCCTGCAGAACTGGATGACATAAACTTTTCCGGGCTCAGAGACGTGAAGTACCGGCACTTTCTGGAAGCTTCCCGACCCATGAGGCATGCGGCCAACGTCCGATCCGAGCAGGACGGACAGCGGGTGAAGAGGTCCGCCGTCCACACCACAGGCGTCAAAGTGTGTCCCCAGGAGACGATGAAAACCGTCATCGGCAGCCACCGGGCCTACTACAAGCTCAGAGGTAGAGCCACTCTGATTGTTAAAGAGGTTTTCATATAAAATCAAGAAAACACATCATAAAGCATTTTGATGATGTCACCGCCAACTCAGAGCTTTTCAACATCAAGATGCTGAGGATGAAATTCAACAGAGGCACTTGGATTATTTACGAAACAAAAAACATCCTCCAACATGCGTTGTGGCTGTTTTAGGGGAATTAAACGGGGATGCGACGGTTGCAAATGGCTTGTTATCAAAGTCATCCCAGCAGCTGCTGCAGCGTGCCATTTCAACGTGACACAGATTAAATTGTTCTATTAGAGGTAATAGCATCGTTTCTAATGGGTGTGAGGCAGAAAACATTTCCCACAGGCGGTGGGGAGTTGGACAATGCGGCTGCTTTTCTGGTCCTCTGCTCCAAACATGTTAATATTTACTCAAATATCGTCAGCAAGCTGGAAATATACAGTTCGCCTTTATGGAAATGAGGGAAATAATAATTTGGAACAGTGCATTTTGAGTTTTCAACATGTTCTCATGGGGAGATTTGTTCAGTATAATCTGTTTTACACTGTAATAATTCACGACTTGAAAATTATACCGACCATCATTTGCAATGACCATTTAAGAAAATCTGAGAAAATATCACTTTCATAATAATTTGGAACGCTGTGCATCATATTCTGATTTATTCTGGAGCATTTGCACTTAAGTAATTTAAATAGTTACTCTTTAGTTTCCTTACGGTAAAAACACTAAATCTTGCCAAGTATCTGTAACGTTTCTCGTGCAAATATCTTAGAAAATTTAAAATAAGACAAAACTGATTTCCAATTAACTTTTCAGCAAGAAATAGGTGTTTGTTTTAAGTCAATAATTTTTTAGTTAATAAAAACAGTACTAATTCCATTGGCAGATCTTTTCTCTTACAATATGGTAAAATGTGTTATTTTCTATAGTTTTTCTTATCCTAATACTATTATTTTACTTTTATTGCTTTATTTAGTTGTTAAATTGCCACATTTGTCCCTTTGTTACCCAGAACCTTCATGGACAACAAAAACCTTTTCAGCACTGCAAATATACAAAGTGATTGTCTTGTGGATGAATGATACTGTTGTTTTAAGTTGAATATTGATAAAATTTACTAGTTTTTAATTTTATAACAAGACATTTTTCCTGTCTCAAGTGAAAATATCTGCCAGTGAAACTAGAATTTCTTGTCTATATTGAAGAACTATTGGCATATTTATCTTGCTGAAAAGTTACTTTTGAGTTAATTTTCTCTTCTTTGAAGTGTGCTAAAATATTTGACGTAGAATCAAAAGTAGGTTTTGTATTTTTGCAGTGAACGGATTCAGCCTCGTTCTGTCGTGCTTTTTGAGGATTCTTTGTTTTAAACCAAGGATTTTGTTGCCAGTTTGTCAGGAAGCAATCTGGGAAGCGTTCCGGGTCTTCTTGGACAGAGTCCCGGCCCCGGAGGAGTACCGGACCTGGGTGTCCACCTGCCAGCACCAGAACCTTTGCATGGACGACCTGGCCCAGAACTTCAGCAGCTCTCAGGAGCATCTGGACCTGGTGGCCAGAGTGAGCAGCAGACTCACAGCAGCGCCATGAAACTCAGTTTCATCACAACTGGTTCATCTTCAACATTAAAATGAAACTTTCATATTTTTTCATTTCAGAGAGTAGAAGAGGCTGAAAGTGAAGGGTAGGGCCATCAACCTCTGAATATTATATTAGATAAGTAGAACTATGTCAATTTTTTTACCTAAATGTGTCTTATATTAAAGTATCAAGGATGAGTTTTTATCTTCACTGCAAATTAAATGAAGTAGCAGGAGATTTTGTATATCACAAATGATTCAGATTTATTGGGACTCAACATAAAGTTAAAGAATGTTTTAAAAGTTATTATGTGTAATGTATGCATGTATGTTTGTACACATGTGTAATTTTTTTTCTCCCTGTGCCATTCTGTACATATTGTTACATATTCAGAAAACATCTAAATAAAACATCACAGTTAAAAAAAACTATATTTTTTTGTAGGTTTGTTGCAGCTAAAGAGCCAAGCAGTGAATGTAAGTCCTGCATTCGTTCACTAAACCATATTCTGTAAATCGGTGGAGTTTAGTCAAAGTTTTTCTGTAAAAATCTTTCATTTCAGGCTCTTGGACTCCTCCTCCCATCCTGCTCCCGGCAGAAACAGACGAGGTAAACCCACCATCAGAATCCACCGCCAGTTTCCCACAAATACCTAAACTGTTTGTATCCTTTCTCTCCCCAGGCTAAAGACCTGATTCAGGAGAACTATGAGGAATACATTGTTGAGTTCAGCATCACTGTGTCTGACCCGACATACAGCGAAATGCTTAGCAACCCCGCAGCGCCGCATTACAACAGCGTCACCAGAGAGCTCAGAGACAAGGTGAGATCACCCGCCTGCAGCAAATGTCAGCGCTCCTCCTCCCAGCTGTTGTCTTCACCTTCATGCAAACGGCGACAGCCTGCGGTCGTTTCAGCAGCAGCGCCGGCTCTCCCAGGGAGGCTTGAACAACAATACAGGAGGGAAATGCCAGATTTTATTGTGCTGCTAGGAGGAAACCATTGATTTAACAGCTTTGATTCAACCTTTAGGATCTAAACTAAGAAGTGCAAAAAGATCAGCGACTGAGAGCAGAACCTCAGAAATCAGAATTATTCACTGCAAAACAAGAAGTTTTGTCTAGTTTCTACAAAACAACAAAAGCAACTTTTCAGCCAAATGATAATAAATAATTCCTTGATATAGACACAGAAAGTACTTGTCCAGATTATTTCACTTAAAACACAAAAATGTCTCATTACAGCTGAAATTAGTCATTTTTAAAATCTGTTTAAGAATTATTGACTTAAAACAAGCCTACATATCTTTAACATTAGTTTTAATAATAACCTTCATTTAGCAGGATAAAAACCTGACTGAAGTCTACAATCTCTTTTTGAAGATGTTTACTTAAAACATGAGAAAAACCTTTTGTAATTAGTGAAATAAACTGATTTGTTCCAACAATATTAACTAATTGTTGACTAAAAATAATCTCCTATAACTTGCTGAAAAGATATTGTTCTGTCTTATTAAGATAAGATATTTCCACCAGACTGAAATACTCTGTAAAACGTTTTGTTTTTGCAGATATATCACAAAAAGAAAACTTAATAACATAAGATAAATTTTTCCAAACAAATTAGTAATAAATTAACTTTTTATTTATATTTCCACTCATCCTAGTTTACCTGTAAGATGATTAAAACTATGAACCTGGAGTCAAAACTTCTCTGCACTTTTAACATTTTTCAGTTCTCGTTTTTTTTAGATGGTTCATGTGTTTGAAAAAGTTCCAGGATTCAAAGAAATACGAGTTCTTGGATTCCGGTGAGTTTAATAAATGCTTTGGAAACAAATCAACTAAAATAAAGGAAATGTGTTTATAGTTAATTCTTCTTCTGTTTCTTGGGTTCAATTGTCAAACTAATGCTAGCATATTCACTCTGTTTTGATGTAACTTATGATTTTTAGTCCAACAAAATAATGCTGACAGCTTGTGAAACAATATTAGATTAAATTGGCCAAATAATAGCAGCACAATCTGAACATCAACAGAGATTGGGATTTAAATTAGTCAGGGATTTAAAAAGGTTGGATTAATGTTTGCAGTTTGTTCTGAGGATTTCTCAGTGGATTTTATTTGTGTTGATCAGATCGGAGGATCTCTCTGTGCGCTACGCTGTGGTCTTTAACGGAGAAACGGAGCTAAACTCCGACAGTTTGGAGATGGAAGAGGGAAAAGAGACAAGAGAAGATGTGAAACTGAAACGCATCATCGTTACGGCCTTGCAGCAGGAGCCGACGCTGCTGCTGGACATGCAGACACTCAGCTTTGAGGCTGGTAATGATTATTATGGGCTGTTTGTACAGTTACACAGTAAAACATTAACAGCAATAGTTTTGGTTTATTTAGTCTGTCAACGAGAAAAAATGTTTCAAAGTCAAATTTTCACCATGTTATTAATACATTTATAGATGTTAGATTTTCAAATTAAATGTTTATTTCACAAGCTAAGTATTTATTTTTGACACTAAACTAGCTGTAGTTTTCTAAATATTTTGCTTTCAAATTAAACATTTAGCTTGGAAAGTAAGTATTTAGTTTTAAACTCAATGTTTAGCTAAATATTTATATTTATTTTTCTAACTGCATAATTAACCCCAAATTACATATTTATTTCACAAACTAAATATTTAGTTCAAATTAAATGTTTAAGAGTAAGCTCAATATTTAGCTTTTACGGTAAATATGTGGTGTACAAACTAAGTTTTTTTGCTAACAATTTTGCTTATTAAAAATAGTTGGTATAATATGCTGTTGGAAAATGTTATTTAGCTCCAAATTCAATATTTATCTTGCTAAATAAATATTTTCCAAACATTTTATGTCACAACTAAATATTTTTCCAAGCCACACATTTAATTTTCAAATGAAATATTTATCTTGCTAACTAAATATTTAAGCTGCTAACTAAATATGGAAATAGGCTTGCTGATAAGCGGAAGTGGATTATCAAAATAAAAGCTGGGTTTTAAGGCCTTTACATAAAATCTTCTGCTATTAGAACTGAATCGCTCCAGTTAAATGCTTAACTTGGAAATGAAATTAATTAACATTTTTTCCTCTAAATAAACGTAAACATTGCTGTTGTTTTATCTTGCCATAAATTGTGGCTTCTAGCTGTTGTTGCTATTTTGCAGTGACCGTGGTTTATCCGGCTGTGGAACCAGAAGACGCCAGCCCACCCACCCAAAGTTTATTCTCCACTGTGGGAGTTTTGGAAAACCAGCTGAAGGATTCAGCTTCCGCCACACCAAAAACCTTTGTGCCTTTTATCCCCACCGTCCTCCCAAAGACCAGCTCTAGCTTTACTGATGGGATTCCTTCAATGGCAGCTGCAGAAGAAAAACCCAGAGAGGAGGAAGAGGAGGGAAAGGAGGAAGAGGAGCGAAAGGAGGAAGAGGAGGCTCCACCAGGTGATGGTGAAGATGGAGGTGAGTGAGACTCCAAGGCCCTGAGGTGACAGACGATGACCCTTCGTCTGGTGAATGCAGCTCATAAAGCAGAATGTCAAGAAGAGCCAAGTTTAAAAATTTAAAGCTTTATTGATTAACCACACATTAACCTGTGGTGTAGACTTCATTTAAAGCTATTGATAGGTAATTAGAAGAGCTCTGGAAATGAAAACCGCACTCAGCCGTCTTGTGTTGGCTCCGTGTTTTGAGCTGTTGGCTGCGGATCTGCAGAGTTAAATAAAAACATCCAAACATAAAGGAGTAAAAGAGAAACTAGCTGCAGACAAAAAGCAAAGGTTAAATTAATCATGTTTGTAAAATAATTAGTATTTAAACCTCAAACCTGCAAGAACTCATTAACCTTTATTCGACTTGGCTGTTATCTTAGGCTGAATATTTCTCTCCCAATTTCTCTTGCTGGGTTTCAGTTGGGGTCCATTTGCTTTTGGACTGCAATGGTGAAATTTTAACATGTTTTATACCCAGCAAATGGTTACATGAAACAGGTTTTTAGCTAATTTAATTCGCACCAGCCCGGTTTATTCCGCTTTAATCAGTTTGTTTGTCTATAAAATCCGATTTGATTCAACTAAAAAAAAGTGAATCTGGTCCATTTTAACACCAACGTCTCGGTTCGGTTGAAGTGAACTCTGGTTCCATATATGTGACCAGGGTACCTCTACAAAAGCAGGAAGTGGGCTACAGCGCAGTGCAATGTGGGAAAATACAACAACAAAAAAAAAACAGCGCTAGGGTAACGCTAGCAAAAGGACAAAAGAGAAATCCTACAACCGCTAAAATCTGGCACTACTCCATCTTTGTTTACATTTTTGTGAAGAAAGAAGTTGCGCTCAGTGTTTTCATGTTGTTTTCTCCAGTGCTTCTTGATGCAGCGCCCCCACAGGCGAGGAGGGGAACATGTTTTTGGTTTGGCTCAGCCTGTGAGAAAAAGAACCACAGCATGAGAACTACAACAAATGTTGCAATTTTGGTCCCAAATCTAACTGCACTGGACTATCAGCTGTCTAAAAACTCATAAATGCAAATAAATATGAAATCTCCTGGAGGAAAGGGGGATGGATAGTAGAACAAGGATCCTTTGATTGAACTTCCCTAAACAAACAACAATAAGACAGATTTATGGGCAAATTTCTTTCACAGACTGTTTGGTGCCTCCCACTGTGAGCCTCACAGTTTCCACTGCATAAAAAAACACTTTAATTCTTCAGGCAGGATGCAACAACACAGCAAATGATTGCTCACATTACACAGATAATGAAAAATAAATAGGACACAAATTATGTGAAATTTAAGACCAGTAATGGAAAATACGAAGACTTTAAAAACCATCAGATAAATATTTTATGACTTTTTAAGATGCTGCTGAATCTCTAAATGGTCAAAACAAAGAGCAGGTATGAAAAAAGGAACAGTTTTTATAATAACTTCATTATTTTTCGTATTTCAACGGGACTAAAATGACTTTTAATGGTCTCATATCTTTCTCCTGCTCCTGAACATCTGACGGAAATCAAGTCAGATATTTCAGTCACAGTGCCGGGGAGGGACACACAAACTTAAGAGTTTGTTCAAATTAATCTTACACAGTTGCAGCATCTAAATACAACCTTGATTGACCCAGGAAATAGAAATGGCAGCATGATTAGACTTGGTGTTGTCACTTTACCCTTGGAAAAGCTCCAGCAGCAGGGGGCCTCTGGTCCAGTCATGCCGCGCTGCACAGACGCATTTCATTAAGTCACAGCAACATTTTCCCACCTGACGGCTGACACCCAAACTTTAGAGAAATGTGTGAAAAACCCTCGGTGCATCTACAGATGTCATATTTAATAAAAATGGTTAATCTATAAAACTTTAATATTCCACGGTGCAATGTTTATGTAATAAATTCTGCACCAGTGTTTGGATAAAAATAAAAGTTTGTCATGTTTGATAAATGAGCTGCCAGAGTTGTGAAATTTAATGTTTAGGAATAATTCATATTAAAACGGGCAGACAGTCAGGACACATCTAAAACAAATAAAAGCATGGAAGCAGCTACAGCTGTTAGAATGAACGTTTAGAAACACAAAATCAAATACCGATTAACCTTTAAAACTGTAATATGTGAAAACGCGAAAACTAACAAACTGCCTCGAGCTTCTTGAATGTTTTCCTCATAATTTAAATATTCACACAAACAGTTTCAGAAATTAAACTGGAACACGAGCGAGTCGCCTGAGAAATGTTTGAAAAACGTCTCGCTGTTTAAATCCCAGAACCAGAGGTGGGTTCACTGCTGCTGGCGTGTCGTCCGCCTGCGTTCAGGCACAGCCGATGATGTTGTTTATCCAGGCAGTTTAAAACCTTCTGTCTGTCTGAGCTAATTCAGAAACAAAATTATCAAAACACAACAGTTATAAAACTGGAACGATGAGTAAAACAACTTCTTGCAGCACAAACTGTAATCACAAATTGATATACAATGTCAACTGGCCAACTCAATATTTACACTCACGTGAAAATGGCTGCAAACAGATGCGCAAAAATACCACCATACATTTTCGAAAAGCAGAAGTGGAGCCTCCTGCACATCCAACAAAAACGTAGCAAGTGGTTTATTGATAAGTCAACAACAAAACTCTAGTCTTTTCCAGCAGCCATTGTACAGCGCATACAGTGGTAAACCCAGCTGACCAAATGAGCTGGAATTACCTTGGGTTGCTAGGTAACGGTGCTGAGCCATTCGAATGTGTCTCAACACCAAAACGCATGACCTTATTGCCAAAAGTATGTTGGTGGTGTTTGTGCCGGTTTCAGAAGCAGTAGAAAGTACAAAAAATTTAATGTGTTTTTGAACATAGAAATGTAAACGTGACCCCTCTGCTGTTTGGTTTCTTTTCACCAGATCCGAAGCTGGTGGGAAGTTCGAGCTCCAGGCCTGAAGGAACTCAAACCTCTGAGGTGAACCTGGATCCATCCAGAACTCCCACTGACCCGGTTTCCACCCGTTCATCTGGTGAGGACGCCGTCCAGGGCAGCGAACCTGGATCAGACGTGGAGCCTTTACCGTCTCCCGAGGACGGAGGGGAAGGTCGCTTGGATCCGACCTCGGTCACCCAAACCGCTCCTGGAGATCATTCACGCACCGCAGGCGGAGTAACGGAGCAACAGGAAGAGGAGAGCGGGAGCGGATTTGCGTCAGAATCCGATGAAGGTCCGTACGGCTCTACAGCCGCGCCTGCGATGAGGCAAGCCAGCACACCCGTGATGACCGCTGTGGAGAAGAGCAAAGAGTTGGTGGTTTTCTTTAGCTTGAGGGTCACGAACATGATGTTTACTGATGACCTGTTCAACAAGAGCTCCCCAGAGTATAAGTCACTGGAGAATACCTTCCTGGAACTGGTAGGTACTCAAGCTTTTGTGATGGATGTAATGCTTCTGCATGCTTCACTGTCCTACTTTATATCATGAAACCAGGATAAACTGCAATAAATACGACTGACTAAATATCGCTGTGCTAAGAAAAAAATGAAAATGACGAGAATAAAGTAAATATATTACCAGAACAAAGTCACAATATTACTTTATTCTGGTGTTATTATTATCGCAAATAATAATAATGATGGTAATATTATTCATGCGTCTTTATTTTTGAAATTCGATGACTTTTTATTGTATTACGACTTTATTCTCATTGTTTTGACTTCATGCTTTTGTCAAAATAATGACAAGCATATTTTGACAAATTTCTTCTTTCTTTTATTATTCATGATCTATTATGACTTTATTCTATATGATTTTATTTTTGATAACTTTTGACTTCATTCTTATATTAATGTGACTTTATTCCAATAATTTTGACTTTATTCTTGTCATTTTATTTTTGTTCATTGTTTTTCTTACTATGGCCCTAAAACTGGATCTTAAATAAAAATGTTGCAGTTGTAGAAAACGTATTGCATCACTTCTCAACATTTTGTGGAGGGAAAACAGGAGCAGATGAGAAGCTGTGCAATGAGCCTTATAGACGTTGAGAAGCGAATCTATTGTTGCTCTTATATTTGTTTAGTAAAAGTGGGAGATGTCTTCAAACCGAAAACCTGCAGTACGCTAAAGACTTCTGTTTCAGAGGAGCCGCCGTGTTGACGGCGTGGAAACACTTGTGGTGAAATTGTTCTGTTTCACTCAGACTCAGCACTTTGGGTCCAGAAACCAGCCAAACCCTGGAGCTTCCAGTAAATCTGGGCTGGGGAGACAGACAACGTTAGCCTCCATACCGGTACCTTTTTATCTTGGATTCTCCTCAGTTTGTTCACTAACAACCTGAAGAATGCAGTACGTAAAACCAGAAGCACCTGATCCTCCTAACATTTCTAACTGAAAAACTTTATTCTTTTCTGTACTTCTCATCTTTATGCTTTGTGCCTTAATCTTTTGAGTCACACTGCAGTTCTTTTTTAAATCTGTCCTGAAAATCTTTCACTAACATTCAGTTTGTGCTGCTGATTTGTTTGTCTGTATTTATGTTTCTTTGTGTATTTAAAAAAGCACACATTCTTGTAAAATCTGTTTGCATTTTCCTTTTGTGTGTGAGTTTTTTGAAATGATGTAAGTGGATATAAGAGGAAATTGACAAGTTGCAAAGCCAAACAGGATGAATCCAGTCTGCAGGACTTTTACATAACTGAAAGTCTGCAACACTCAAATCGTTGTTCAACTGAGAACAGAGATTTCTGTTTTTTTAGCTTTGAGCTGTTAGAGTTTGGTTTGTGGCAGCTTTGCAAGATATTTTTATTTTCTGAGTTTCGAAGCAAGTTTCAATTGGTAATTTTGAAGTTAATATCTAACATTCATTGTTAGGATTTAACTAAGCAGAAATTTATGTGTACATTTTTTGTACATATACAAAAAATGTGTATTTTTGTAAAGATCTGATGAAAGTTCAGCACCAGAAGATTTAACTTAAAAGGGAAAGCTGTTAGGAAACGTGTTTGTGCTTTGCTGCTGAGCCACTGAAAGCTTAGTGTGTACAACGTTAGTCCAGAGTGTTGACCTCAAAACAAACTGGTTCATACAGAACTGGAGCTGTTCTGTATGTTACAGTGCAGAAAACAGGCGAAAACATATTAACTGATCAAGACAAAACTTTAGCAAGTTAACCCGAACCCTAATCCTAACCCCACCAAGTTTTAAACTCTAACAAAATGCCTGAATGGTACCAGTTCTGCTTGTCAGATGTGGTAAGAAAAACTGAGAAGTGAAAAACGTTTGTGTTACTTCTCTTCGTCTTTCAGAGCTTACTGGGATGGAACTTCCCTGGATTTTATTTGACACTTTCCCAGAAAATACTGGGAAATTCTACTGGTACTTTTTTAAAACACATTTCACAAAATTCTATCCTATTCTACTGGGCATTTTTGCTGAATTTCTTGGTTATTATCCAGCACTTGATGGGCATCATAATGAATTTTTTAAAATGAAAAATGCTGCAGAAGTGATTTTATAGCATTGCAAAAAAGTTAAATCATACATTAAGGCTCAATATTATGGACAGAACTTTTGAGTTTTTATTTTCTTATTAGTTATTTTGCTATTTCAACTTGCTCTGAAAGTGGTGCTAATAAACATATATAGCATTAAAAGTTTATGCTGAATGTTGCTTCTTTGTTGCTTAGTTAGCAGCATCTGTTAAATGACTAAATTAAATTTTAATGTTATCTATATTATATATATATATATATCTGATTGTGGAGGTTATTTTACTACTTATACAGACACAAATGCAGCATGGCTTCATGTTTAGGATGTTACATTATTTGCATGTCTGATGCCTTAAATTTAAATCAGTTTGGCTTAGAGTAGTAAGTGAATGAGCTTTATGAACATTTTCGGGATGTTTTGCTGATTTATGCTTTTGTTTTACTGAAGCAGAGTTAATTTATGCCTGGAGGTCAGGAGACCTTTTCCTGTTTTAGTCTTCGGTTTGTGACGTGGAGTAAGCAGCTTAGCGGGCTTCTCGTCAGCTCCTGCATCACACACTTTGTGCTAATGCTGGTTTCAATCTCCTTAGTGTGATGGCGTTGGTATCTGCATGCAATATAACTGAATGTACCACAGGAAATGGAATAAAAACAGTCAAGCCACTGTCAGTTTTGAAACATCAATTATTTTGTTGTTTTTTATTAAACTGTATTTAAAAATTGGCACTAGGGTTGGTATGTTAGCATACATGCATGTTTAAAATGAGCAGATGTATTGAATCTGCAAGAATAAATGGGGGACTGTCACAAATTGATGTTTCTGTTCACATTGTAACTTGTCTTGTCTGCAGAGAAACTATTGAAAAAAAGCAGAAAGCAATGTAAAGCAACACTCCATCTCCAATTTTTAGTGGTTGCTCAAACCTTGAACTTTGCTTGTTAACTAATTTGTTGAGCTTCCTGGAAAAACTAGATTTCAGATGTTTGATCCGGTAAGTATTTACCGCTCTGAGAGTTACCAATATAATCTGCGTTTCCATTACAAATGTGCACAAAACTTTGTTGATATTCTGCTAATAATTTTCCAATTGCTTTTTCTCCATTAAGTAAGAAACGCAATTAAAATTTTATTTGAGTAAGTTAACATGTTACGTTGTTAAAAACATGGAGCATCATTGTTCTCCTTCCACTTCCTGTTGTCTTCTTTGTGGTTTCTGCCAGTAGTAACATCTGGTTGTTGATCACACGCCTTATGTGATGCGAAAGTGTTTCAGTCGCAGTTTGGCGAATCAAAGTAATTTCAATATAGCAGAAAACCACCTCATCATTGTGCAGAAACGTTTTATTGAAAAACTGTTTCCATTAAGTGAATTTATTTTTGTAATTCCAATTTGTGCAATTTTAAGGTGAATGGGAACACAGCTATATTATCTTTTAAATGGGCAACTTCTTATTTCTCTTAAATGATCCGACCTGGTTTCATCAGAAAGCATCATGAACTGCTGAGCATCATGTTGATGAGCCCATTTAAACAGACTCTGAATATCTGTGCATGTGTTCGTTCTATCGGCTCCGATTACTGCTGTACCTACTGGTTTGTGAAGCAACCAAAAAAAATTGGACATGGAGTTCAGAAAGTGTTTTTTCCTTTATATTGGATGAAAAATAAACACGCTAAGTTGGTTAATATTCATCGTGTCTCTTCGGTGACATCTGCACCAGGCCTGTTGGTTTTAACAGAACCAGTAGATACATGCGTAACTTTTTATGAAACCATCAAGTTGTGGATGTAGAAGTTCTGTGGTTTGCAGTAGAGAGATCCTTTATTGTGGCTCTTACTGTGTTTTCAAGTGGTTCCCTGCTGGTCCGTGTGCAGCTGCAGCGCAGTCAGAGCAGCGGGTCTGTGTGAAGTGTTGGCAGGTGATAGGTGAGCTCACCTGTCCTGAGCAGAGCTCCTTAAGGCTTCTTATCGCTCCTCCACCTCTCAGGCCTGCTAAAGCAGCGTAATCTCTGCCCCTCACGCTGCAGCACTTTCATCTGAGCTGAACTTAGAAGCCGTTCAGATCAATGACCCTGATGGAGCCTCGCTTCTTCAGCCGTCTGACTTCCTGCATCAGTTCCTCCACAGTTTGGATTTCCACACTGCAAAAACACAAAATCTTACCAAATATTTCTTTGGTCGAATTTCTTGTGCAACTATTTTATTACACTTGAAATAAGACAAAAATAACTTACAAGCGACTTTTTAGCAAGATATGAGAGCTGGTTTTAAGTTAATAAGCCCTTAATATTGACTAAAAAGTTTTATTTTGGCAGATTATTTCACTTTTTCATGCCATAAGTGAAATAATCTGCCGGTGGAATTAGAAGTTTTTTATCATTATTAAGGAATTGATGACTTCAAATAAGCTATTGTATCTTACTGAAAAATTACTTGAAAGTTAGTTTTATTTAGTTTGTACTAGAAACTAGACTAAAAATACTTGGCACATTTTGTGTTTTTACAGTGCAGCCATTTGCTAAACTATTCAGATAACTTTCATGAATATTCTTGGAATTTTTCTTTTGTTTTATTTATAAAACTCTAAAAAGTGTGTCATGCAGTTTTATTCCTCCCCCTTTACTCTGGCGCTCTTCGATAAAACCCATTAACCTCGACTGCCTTCAAATGTTTCCTAATTAGTGAATAAAGCAAACAGAACCGTCAAAGCTATGCAGACCTGGGCATCCAACTAAACAAGGGGGTCCAAACATTTTCATCAAGTCTAAAGAAAACTGAGTGCTAAAAAATATTTTTTATCTTTTCAACAATAAACTAAACATGCAATACTTTAATCAAACAAAGTCTTAAATATGTTCCTGGAAAATGACACGTAAATCATTCTAAATCCAAAACTTAAAAAAGTTCTGCAGGTTTGCATGAATAAAATAATAAAATTTAATCATTTCTGAACAGTAACATCTGGATTTGGGTCGATTTTTCTGAAAGTGCTTGTTGCATTTAGCCAAGTGTATTAAATTAATTGAAAACAGATATGACTGCAGCAAATCTTGCTTTTGAGTAACAGAAACTGGTCCTGGCAAGTAAAAGCAGAAAAGGTGGTTGTTTAAAGACAAACACTTTGTTTTGTGTCCAATACTTTTTAATTGTTGGAAGGTTTTTCAACACCTGAGCCTCAGGATTAAAGTCATATTTTGAAATGAAGTTCAGGGCTCTAAACAGTCCGTCTATGGCCTGCCAATGGCCCCCGAGCCACACTTTAGACACCCCTGATCTGAACTGACAGTCTGAACAAGACGAGCATTAATAAGAGAAGCAGCCAAGAGGCAACTCTGGAGGAGCTGCAGGGAACCAAAGCTTAGCTGGCTGACTGAAAACTCCAATCCGTCAATCTAAACTTTGGGTCCCAACATTTTTCTGTTTTTTCTTTGAAAAACATTGAAAACTGTCTTTCATTTCCCTTTTGGACCAGGACGTGCGCTGTCCCATGACGGCGTAATCCCAAAGCTAATCCCTGAAGTTTGAAGGGAGTTGAAGAGTTTTCTAAGTCACTCTACGTCTCAGTTACATTCAAATATGTTTAAATTTAAAGTTTAGGTTAAATTAGAGTCGAAAGTAATTTTACTGCTTTGGGTGTTTGAAGAAGCAACTTTGAATTATTCCATTAGAATTTGATATATTTATAATCTAATTTAGTCTCTGCATCAAGTTAATCCAGTTAGATTTAGAAAGCGATGGCGCTGTGCGGCGCGAAACTATTTTATTTGCCTTATCTTATTCACATGAACGACAACGAGGCACATGAAATATTTAGAAAAAGATAAATGACTAAATTAAATAAAGCAGACCGTGTCTCGTTGCTTGGCTGCAGCCTGAGAAAGAAAACTATTTTCCAACACACACATCTCTACAGTTACGCAGAGAGTTTGTCCAGAAAATAGTCTCAATAATAATAAAAAACAAATAAAGGAGAAGCATGAAGTCAAATGGAGAAAATCTTATCTTCAATAAAATGATCTGCATGCCTCTGTACAATGAAATATTAATAAAAAAGTGTTAAATTTAAAAACAAACTCATTTAAGGAAAAAGATGATTCTTCTCTGCAACAAATCATAAAAATGTGGCCTGATCAAAAACACGCCGGCTTTAAAAATGTGCAAAAAACTTCCTAAATATTCCACTAGTGTAAAAAAAACAACACAATTTTGAAATTCCATTAGTTTTCATTAAATAAAAACAATTAAATATGAATAAGTTTGTCCATGTGTTAAACCGTTAAAAACATGCCTAGTCCTCATCCTGTCGTCGTCTTCTTTGTTGGTTTCATCCGGTTGTTGATCATCTGACTCGTCTCCATCGAACAACCTCATCGGCAAAACCTTTCACTGAAAAACAAGAGCTTTTCAAAATTGACGTGTTTCTATAAAGTAAATTATTATTTGTTATTGAACTGTCAAATTGTGCAATTATATAATCACTGTAAACGCAGCGACGTTGATTGATTAGTTCTTGTCTTATTCAGGTTTTTTATTCTGTTGGCTGAATTTATCCAAATCGCTGAGTCATGGCTGATTTCCACAAACCATCATGTTAGAAAGTTTTCACACCCATTTCTCTAAATGACCGTTTTCTTCCTCAGCAGAAGCAGAATGTTAAATGATAAATATTTAAAAGTTGTTTTGTCCTGTCCTGATTGAACTCCTGGTTCGGTTCCTGACTTTAGCTGGACATATTGATAAAATCCTTCAGGCTTTTCTTCAAACCTGCAGTAACTGAGTGGCTCTGCTGCTGCAAACCTCTTGGGACAAATCTAGGACTTTATTATTCAGGATTAGTTTTCTGTTTGAGACCTTTTACTAGCAGAACACATTATTTTTATTAAACTATTTTATCCTTTCACAGTTTTTATAATTTGAAGTATTAGCATTTTTGTGGCACCGGTGCTTAGAAACCAAAACTCCAATTTTGTTCTGCATCTAATTGTTCAATCAGTGCAGAAAACTCATCCTTTCATGCTCACATCAAAATTTAATTATGAACTATTCATAGAATTCACTCTTATATGTGACCTGAATAATGAAACGTGAGCGCTGTCTCTAAAGGAGAATAAAAACAGAAGATATTTATGTTTTTTTATGTCAGCTCTATATAATAACAAATTCAGCTTTGTTTATTAATTTAAATTGTCATAGATAAAGTAAAACTTCAGGTTTCTTCTTTTATCACCAGATAAAATCTGCTTCCTTGCAGCAAATAGATTTTTTGCAGCACTAATCCTCTTGTGATTAACCTCTGAAAAGCAGCAGCTGATGAACTTGTGCCCCTCTATCTTTGCACAGCTTCTGCCATATTTACAGTCCAATCTGACCGGATTCAAGCAGCTGGAGATTCTGAACTTCAGGAATGGGAGTGTTGTGGTAAACAGCAGGATGAAACTGGACAAGCCGGTGCCCAACAACGTCACAGAAGCCGTGCGCTGTGTGCTGGAGGACTTGTGCAGCGCCGCGTCTAATCGGCTTGACATCGAGATTGACAGTCGCTCTTTGGAGGTTGAACCAGGTGAGAAGTTCTTGCTGAAGTCTTGGCTTGTGTTCTGTTACTTTTTCACTTGTTTTGGTGCTTGAGAAAAAATGTCTGCATTTACTTTTACAATTTTCAGGGCGAAATTAACAACAGTGGTGAGAGGAAGCTTTAATTTTCACAAACTGTTTAATCACACAAACCCGACTCAGCAGTTTGCTGCCTTTGTCACAGTGATGTACAGATTATTTCACTAATAATAAGACATTTCCCCATGTTATAAACAAAATAATCTGAATAGTTGACTTAAAACAAGCTCCTATATCTGACTGAAAGTCACTTGTGTCCAGAAATAATTGGTAAAATTTTGTGTTTTTACAGTGTTGGAAAACGTTGATGCTGATCTGAACTTTTCAGAGTCAAAAGTTTAGCAAATAAATAAAGCTTTCATATGAAAATAAAATTATTAAAACACTGCAAAAAATATGTTAAAAAATATAGAAAACATGATTTTTTCATGTTACAAGTGAAGTAATCTGCCAATGGAAAAAATACGTTTTTTAAATTAATATTAAGAAATTATTGACTCTAATCAAACCCCTATATGTTGCTGAAGTTGCTTATGAGTGAATTTGTCTTTAATCAAGTGTAATAAGTTATTTGCAATATAAGCTAGACCAACACATTTGGTGATATTTTGTGTTTTTTCAGTGTTTTATGTCCCAAAACCAAAGAATTGCTTTAAATGCAACAAACTGAAAAATATCAACGATTCTGTTTCTCATCTGTTTGTGAATTTTCTTATTTTGACATCTTTGAGCCGACTTCGTGTTGCCTGACGGGTTCTGTTCAGCTGAATCTTGACTCTATAGAGCCAAAAGTCGTTGACTTCAGGTTCCTCCTGTTGTGCCTTTTCTTGTGTGATGGTTTGTATTCTGATTGAAACGCTGTGAGCTCTCCTCTTCATCACTGCTAACCGGCGCCTCTCTGCTCCTGCTGTCATCTCCCTCCTCCGCCCCGCTGCCCTCAGCTGACCAAGCAGATTTGTGTAAGTTCCTGGCCTGCAACGAGTTTTCTCGCTGCGTGGTGAACAGCTGGAGCGGCGAGGCCGAGTGCCTGTGTGACCCCGGCTACAGCGCGGTGGACGGCCGGCCCTGCCAGGACACCTGCTCCCTGCAGCCGGACTTCTGCCTGAACGGAGGCGCGTGTGAGATAATCCCCGGCCACGGAGTCACCTGCAGGTACACGCAAACCAGGGCTGTTCAAAGAGCGGCCCGCGGGCCAATTTGTGGCCCCCAACTGCAATTCAAGAACAATGCAAATTTGTCCTATTCATCATAGCTGTTCATCAGACGGTGTACTGGAAATAATATATTATTTCTATCTGTACTGCAAAGCCATTTTAGCGTCATTGCAGACATGTATAAAAAAAGTAAATTTACACCAAAGATTTTGAAGTGAAGCTCAGAAATTTCTGAGTTTCAAACATCCAAAATGTTTGACTTTTAAACTCAGAAATTGTCCAATAGGAATTCTAAATATAATTTAAAATAATGGTGACACTTTATTTGAATGGCTGACCATATCAGACATGTGAAAGAGTCTTCATGAAGTGTCATTTGGTAAATTATGACATTTTTAATGCAAAGTTTTAGTGTCATCTCTGCATTAAAAGTGCCACCAAAATGAATAATAAAACAGAATTAGACTGAACAGATCCATCTTTACCTGAAGTACAAAATGTTACAGTATTTGTATTTATTCATTGCATTAAAACTTTTGGAAATGCACCATAGAAATGCGAGATTGCAGGCCTGAACTGAACTCTGCGCTCTGGGGGTTCATTCATAAACATTTGCTTTCAGAACTGGAAGTGCTAAATTGTTTTTGAATCACTCCTGCAGAGAAAGAAACGGTAAACTATTAATTTTCTTTTCTTAAGGGAAGTGTCTGGGATTTCATTCTGTTTTCCTTTGTTTCAGATGCCCTGCAGGTAAATACTGGCGCTACCACGGCGCGCGCTGCAGCGAGCTGGTGTCGGTGCCTCTGGACCCGGCTCTGATTACAACCTGCCTGCTGGGGAGCCTCTGCCTAGTTTGCGCCGTCATCGGCATTTTAATATTCATCAACAAGAAGTGCATAAGGACCAGAAAGTCCGTGGCTCTGGTGTAAGTCAGAACCCTGCTTGGGATTCGCGTTGCGTATCCCGTCCTTGTTGTTCTCAGGGTGTCGGCCGCCGCTGCTGTAAATGCGTTTGTGTGCGTTTGCATCACAGGCACGCTCATGCACCGTATGCCTTTGAGAACACTTTGAGGGAGAACCCGGTTTTTGAGAATGATGACGGTGTCTTAACTCATGTTTCCACTCTGCCGTGCGCCTCAAGCTCGGCCTCTTCGCAGTCTGAGCAGGAACATTTTGCCTCGGTTGAAAATATACGCCTGAGTATCGAGGTACAGCGAGAGGATCGGCACTGAAACCTAACCTTTCACTAACCTCAAACCGCCGCAGTTTTCTGCTCTCAACCTCTCACACCTTTAACTCTGCTTTGTAGGTTTCACCTTTGACCTCAGAAGCATTTGCAGTAGAACAGTCCAAAGTGCAGCCACACAGTCAAATCTGTCCCACAAGTTCAGCTGATCGATGCAGATGGAGAGACTTTTCTCTGTTCACAATTAGGACAAAACTATGACACAGAAATTAACATTTTCTCAACATGAAATATTTGGGTCCTACTAAAAATTAACAATTACTTTTTTGCAGCTCAGAAAATTAATCTGAGTGGGAAAAAGCAGGCAAATGTGTTTGGTTAGCAGTTCACTTAATTTGATTAAAGGGTTTTAATCTGTAGATTATAATAAGGCACAACAGAAGAAAAGAATCTGGAAATTATGGAGTAAATCAATGTGGTAAAGATTTATAATCTAACATTAGAATTATAATTGGAATATATATATGTATAAAGATAAATTACCAATCATATTACTCATTGAGATTTGTGTACAAGAATATTTTAATAGGATATTTTTTGTTGAAGTTCATTTTAAGTAATTAAAAAGCTGAAATTATATTTTATGAGTTAACATTAAAATATTTTAATAATTATCCAGCCAGAGTACCTGGTGCTAAGTAATAAAACATAATTTAATGAATTTGATGAAGATTCGAAGGGTTTTAATAATCAAGGTACTTGAATCATCACATCACTTCAAAGAATTAATATTTTAATAACCAAGTTTTCTGCTTTCTCTTTAATTTCATCTTAGATAGGAACTAAAGCTTTTAATTACATTATTAAACTTTTCAAATAAAAAGTCAATTAAATTATTTTTTCTGAAGAGATTAAATCTGTTTCAATTTTCTTCAATTGAGCCCAAAATAATTTTTTTCATGTGAAACCATTTGAAGCTACAAAAAAAAAAAAAAAAAAAAAAACTTTTTTTTAATTAAAATATTTTCATGCTTCATTTATTTCTGAGCAGAAAAAAAAATCTCAGTAAAAGTTTTTGTGATTTCAGTGTTTAGAAAATGTTTTGTATTTTTGAGTTGATGACTTTGGCTGTTGCCAAAGTTTTTGGTTTATTTTCTAGTGCAAATTCCTTAAATAACACAAGACTAACATATAAATAACTTTTATAACATAGAGGCTTGTTTTAAATCCTAAATATTGATGAATTTCATCATTATTTGAATTTGGGGTAGATTTGTGTCAAATCTTTGCTTTAATCATCTTGGAAGGAAAAACGTTGAAATGTACCTTTTCTCTGCAGATCCCCAGACGACTCTACACAACAAGATCAGAAAAGTTAGTGTCAGACATGGTGGGTTTCCATCACAGTTTGCCACGCAGTGAGGTAAGACTGGCATAAACTGCTTTGAGTAACTTTGCTCTAAATGTGTTTGCAAATCTGGAGGTTAATTTTTATTAAAGTTCCCTGTGAGAAGTTTAGACATTTGCTGTGATTCAGTTAGAAATGTGCACAAAACATCAGAACTCCACTGATATCCAAAAAACACAATTTCTCAATTGTGGTGTTTTCATTAAACACAAATCTAGAAAAATGAACAAAGGGTTGGAGTTGAACTTTGACCTGTAGCTGTAACTTGCAGGTAAACTTGTTTCTCCAAAGTATTGTCACATGTTGACTGAATACATTTAATATTTATCCTGTTTTAAGTGTTTCATTTAGAAACAAGTAAAGTAGCTTTAATTGCTTCATTCCTATGTATTTACTCTGTTGGTTCAAGAATGTGTTTTTTGTAATTTGCCATGTTGCTCAAATGAATGTGACGCAATAATTTAAAACTTGCATCCTGTTTTGAAAATCATTTTGCTAAAGTATTAATAACTTGATGAAATATTTTCCAGCTGTTTGACGCCTGCAAAGGTAAAAGTCCATGAAAACTCTCATCAGTGATAATTTTACTCACCAACCAGAGTCACTGCAGCGTTTTTGTGATCAAAGTTTTCCCTTAAAGCTGCAGTAACCTTTTTTAAAATACTTAATGGTTTGCTATGAGGTAGATAACCTGTGAAAAAATCCAGTTCCTTTGCCTTCTCCCAGTGTAAACTAGAAACTACCAATCAGAGCCAGGGGGCGGGACTTAGCGTTGTCAGTCACTTCAGTCATCACTGCTGCAGTGATAACTTAAGTACTAGTTATCATCGCTACCAACAACGGCGGAGAAAGTTTTACTTTAATGATAAGTTGTTTTTCCCCCATTAGCATATTTACCAGCAAGTACATGAGGTTGGTTGACAGCGCTAAGACCCGCCTCCTGGCTCTGATTGGTTATTTTTGGCCGGGTTGATGCGTTGCTCAGGTTGGAGGTGGAGATCGATCTTTTCACAGACTGTCTCAGACTGACACGATATGGTAACAAATATGTGAAAAGCTGATTTTGAAAAAAAAAAAAAAACAACTGCAGTTTTAACATCACAAAAATAATCCTAACAACTGTTGTGCAATGGAAAACATTTTCCAAATGAAGAGCTTGTGATTTCAAGCTTTTGTCATTTCTGTGGGGAAATCACCGTCTCCCATATGAATGATAATTACAAAGCGTTTCTCCGCCGGGGACAAACTGACTCTGCTTCTCGTTTCCTCCAGACGTGGCGACTGTCCAGTGAGTACGGGAGGTGCTGCCTGCTCCGGGCGCCAGACAGCGACTGTTTCGAAGTCACAGTCCTCTGATGACACCTGATCCGGAGCGAAGCAGGACAAAACGCTGCGGTTTCACTCCGCATAGTGTTCATAGTGATAGACAGAGAGCTCTGCGGATGAGGCTGCGTTCCAGGGGAAACTAATATTTATTACTCGTTATAAATGGTAGGAACATTTCCTCTACACGCTTGGCAAAGGTTGGTCTTTCCTCACAATGAGGTATTTATTATTTACAGAAAGATGCACATGGCTGTATCTCACTGTATGTGTAGAGAAAGTAATATATTTTGTTTTGGATGGATTTTGTGTCCCAAAAAGAGAATGTACTGTATAAGCTACTGACTTGGCTGCTTCAGTCACTCCCATTCGCAGACGTATCGATAACCATTTGATCCGGACATATTTTTGTACATTTTTCATGTAAAGCAAATAAATTTAAGGTTTTTAGAAGAACAAACTGCGTGTTTTCTGTCAATCTAAACACATTTTTGGAGAATCAAATTAATTGAAAAAATGGTGGAAATTATTTATTATAATACCAAACTTATAAGTGGGCAAAAGCAAAAACAATTAATATGATTAAAGTGTTTATTAGAAGAAAAAATGTGGAGGTAATGGAGTAAATACTACTTTTAAATCTAGTGTTAGAATTAATATTGGAAGCAATTTAATTAAAGGTTGAAACAATATTTTATAATTTTACTAGACATTAAAATATTTTCGTTTTGATTAAATTTTTTCTAAATTTATTTCAAAAAGGGAATAAGCCACAAAAGATCCCAGCTCAAGACGATGGCTGTTCCTAGCGCTCTATTCAAGCATGTTAATGGAAAATTAAGTGGAAGAAGAAAAAATGCGTGAAGCAAACCTTAAAAAAAAAACCCAACTTAATTTTTAACTGAAATTAAATATTTGAATTTATTTAGTTCCATTTTGTTTGAGGCTTGTGTGAAAATCTGATATACTTTGTTGTATAAAACCTCTAATAGCTTTGACACATTTACCCACTAATATAAAAATATTAATTATATTATATGAACTATAAACTTATAACATTTCAGAACCAAAAAACAAATCAACTGGGAATTTTTCAGAAATGTTTATTTTCTACAGTTTTCCAGAGAGAAGGCCATCATGCTCAGTTTTCATAACTCAGATTTTGTTTTTTTTAAGGTAAATTAAGATTTGTTTGTTTAACCATTGAGAAAAGAAAAACATAACACAAACACCAACAACATCATTAGCTGTAAAACAACCCAGTATGCACAAAACTGCAAACATGAAAACGTTTCCCTCTTCCATATCAAAAGAGTAACAATAAAAAAGACTCCAGATACGGAACGTGTGCAGCCAGAAAAACAAACTGGTGTTTACAGGCATCACATTGTTGCAACATTACGCGGTATCTCCCATAACTGACAACATTAAAATGATAAAATTCAGTCGGTATAAGTTTGTTTGAAGAATAAGAATTGGTTTCTGACGTTGCTAAAAACTCATGACATCATATATGTCGCTGTAAATGGTGACTGTCCTCGTTTATAGTCACAAAAATCATAAAGCATGAATTTTATGGCATCATAAAGCTCTAATCTGGTGTCACTGTTTGGGTTTTAAGTTGACAGCTACAACCAATTAAGACTTATGTGGTGCAACTTTATTGCAATCGTAAGGCCTCAGTGGGATTTTGAATTTCTGCATAGATTTTGGAAAACAACCAGTTTGCTAACGCTACTAAATTAAAATGTTGCACTGCAAATTAATAAAAAATAGAAAATTAAATCAGCATAAGAATTGATATCAAGTGAGCATTTAGAGATGAACTGGGAGCTTCTTTGCATGTTGTTATTTCCTTAGTTTCCCACAAAGCGCAGAGACAGTGAACTGCTCACGCAGAAGCATGGTTTCACTTGAGGAGACTCTGCAGCATGGCAGTGGCGTACGTTGGCCGGGCCTGCTTGTTCTCTATCGCCCTCTTCAGGTACTGGATCCCGTCGCAGCGCTCCCAGATCTCCTCAAACTGCCTGGGCAGGATCTCAGCGCCCCGCTTCCTGGTCAGACCCGTCTCCTCCAGACTCAGCTCACACATCTCCATGTCGTCTTTACCTTCAAGGTGAAGGAGGACGAGAAAGCAGAGAGATTTACGCTGGGCGTTAAATATTAAGAAGAAAACAACTTGATGAATGAGATCATGATTAAATTACTAAATATAAACCTCCCAGTTAAAAGTGATCTATTATAAGTCCTTGGATAGATTAGGAGAGATTTTGGGCTACAAAACAGCCTACATTACATTTTTTGCACAAAATTATTTGTGGATCTCATTATGCATCTATTTTCAGCTGTTTTAGGGTCTCTGTCACTTTAAATCCAAGTAAGCTGCTACTGGCCACGCCCCCAACTCAACTTTTGCACTCGCACATGAAAAATGGCTGCAAACAGATGCGTAATTACAATCGTACATCTTTGAAAAGCAGAAGTGCAACCTCCTGCACAAACAACAGCAACACAGAAAATGGTTTCTGGATTGTAAGTCAACAACAAAACACTTATCTTTTCCAGCAGCCATTGTACAGCGCATACAGAACCTCCATCCATGCCACGCAGCATTGATGCAGTGATTCATGCAAAAGGAGCCCCAACAAGTGTAAGCTCAAATTTTGATACAGTTTATTATTCTGATGTGATATAAACATTTTTTTCAACAATTTTCTATCAACCCTATATCAAATGATTTTTAAATTCAATTTTTAGGTTTCAATAAGTTTTTTAATTATATTTTAATTCATTGGTTTCATAAATATTATTGGAGATTTGTAGTTAGGAAAGAGATAAACTGATAGAAACACAAATAAAAACTTAGACAAAATACATTTTGCATATTTTATCAAATAAGAACTACTTGAGAATATATTTAAAGAAAAACTACAAACATCTTTTCTACGGATTTTTTGAAGAATTTAATTTTCTTTCATATAATTTTTCAGCATCAGTGACCAAACATGATGACATTTTCTTTGTATGTATGAAATAATTTTCCTAAAACAAAACCTTTTGAGGAAACAAAGAGCGAGCTGATGACTCACCTGCGACCAACACAATGGGCTGTTTGTCTGGATGCAGCTCCATCTGTCTGGCTATCCACGGCCCGTCGAAGTGGGCGTACCACCAGCCCTTCTTTTTGTTCTGCGGGTCCTTGTACTGGTCAGCGGGTCGGATGAAAGGAATCCGAAAGTATCGCTGCTGGCGGTTCATGGTGACTTCCTGGTGCTGGGCCGGTGTTGGAGGAGCCGGGTTCTGCTCAGCTGCAAGTCAATCATTTGAATAACAAATGAAAAATCCAGAGGAAAAGCAAGCCGTCTGGTCTGATCTGAATCAAAGGATAATATTTGAAAGTTCTATAGAAAGAGGAGAGTTTGTACAGTTTGATTTGGTAAATTAAAGTATTTCAGTGCTGCTGTTTTTTTCCCCAATGAATATTTATTGGACATGAAAAGGAGATATTTATACTCTGTGTCACAAATGTAGCCTGAAAAAGTTTTGTCTCGACTGATAATACAGGATGTTTCCTATTTAGACAATAAAAACACAACTGAGCCTTTGGCTTTTTTAAAAAAAGAAAGATTACTATTCGCTCCAAATGGAAAGCTGTCATTCATCCACATCTTCATCTTTTCAATACGTTTAACTCTAAAAGTAGAAAAACTAACATCTGAGATATGAGAGGCATTTTTGGATCATATTTATTCATTTCAAAAAAATCACTTTGATAACATTTTCAATACTGCAACTACATTTTTTGAAGGAAAAATATTCTTTACAGTAAAGATAAAAAATAATTGATTTCAATATAACAAAATTTTAATCTTAAATCCATAAAGTTAATATTTAAACAGACGGTGTTGGCTGATGTTGTCTGGGAGGTTAACTATGTCACGGTATTTGCCTCAGCAAAATTGAAATTATCAGTTTGAAATTGATTTTGACACAAATGAGGATCTTTTCTGGTAACAATCACATTGACATGTCGACAGTTTGAAGCCTGTCTACCTCGTAGTAGAGTCAGTGGAGTAAAGTCGGGTGTTATCTGCATACAGGTGAACTTCAGACGTTTTTCTCTTAATGTTATTGACACAAATCAACAATCAAAAGTGGCCTAAATTTGAGCCTTGAGGGACTCCTTTTTAAAACATGGGCAGCTATAACCTATATCACAATAGTGACAAGCTTTACAGTAAACTGTGGTGTCATCTGCATAAAGATGCACTTCAACTGTGGGAATAACTTTAACTTCAATAAAATTTTAAACTGAGAATCACTTTAATTAGAGCCAACAGAGGAAAGCAGAGTGTCGTCTGCATAATGGTGCAGTTTAGCAGTATTGATGTTCTTTTTGGTGATATTAAAGCCAAATTAAACATAAAATATGGGTTTAATATGTCCATTGAGGGAATCCTCTTAAAATATTCAACCTACAACACCAAAGTCTCTATCTGTAAAGATGAACTAGATGATGTGAAAATCAAACAGCAAGAAAAAACATGAGAACTGCTCAGGTTTATGAGCTGTTCACTATAACCGGATTATTTTTCCTGCAATCAGAGAAACAGGGTGACGAGAACAATAATGTTGTTTACCAACCATAGTCAGTGATCGATTTAGGAGCCCTCATGTCGCTCCCGTCATCATTTTGTTTCTTGTTCTTGGACTTCCAGGCGTGATAAACCTTCAGACGCCGGTGGAATTCCTCTCTGCAGGCTGCCAGCAGCTCAATGTCTTTCAAAACAAAACGAGTTTGTTAAAACTCACATACAAATGTATTGTTAAAAATCAATACATTTAAAAGGATTGGCTGGGATCTATTGTCCTACTCTCTAGAAAATATTTGAAAACTTCAAGGTCTTCAGGTTAATCTTCGACCTCCATGCATTTTTTAAAGTGATAAATTTAAAAAGTAAACCAAAACACAACAGAAGAAATTTATTGTCATTTTAAAAATATGGCCTCCATGAAGAAAAACTGTTGAAAGAAAATAAAAAAAACTGAATTTTTAACCTATATGAGAAACGACGTGGGGGAAACCTTAAACACACTGACAGGAACATGGTGGTGGCAGCGTTATGCTGTGGGATTCCCTCTTTCAATACAGAATGGGAGGAAAACAAACTTATTTACTTGCACTACCTTATCCCATATAAACTGTATGGTTGCCACTAAAATCTTTAATTTAGGAATTGATGTTATATACAAAAATACTTTATTGATCCAAAAGGGAAACAAAATGTTGTATTAACTCATATTATTTCAAATTCTTCTGATTTATTGTAGATTTACTTGTTAATAATGTCACTCATAAAATTATTACCAGGCCAATATTGTCATTATAGATGAATTAATTAACATTAAAGACTTTAAAGCTCTACAACGTT